ACATTAAACCATTGTTCCAACAGGACTTCATAAGGCTGAAGACACCCAATATATACCTTAGCCACAACAATGGACTAGAGTATATAAACAATCATGAAGATAGGTAACCCTTTGTTTTTAGTTGAAGCTGATTTCAGTGTGATTAACAGCATCAATGAAATGTGAACACTTGTCACACACAAAGCACAGTTTCATTCAGACTTATATGAATAATTTATATTTATTAAATGCCACTTGCTAGATGACATCATCTTTTAAGAAATAAAATAATCAATTTTAAATTACTGTTGGAAGGAGAGGAAAGAATATATTTTTGGTTTCTCTAACATGTTCCTCATGGGTCCATGTAGGAGATTTTTCTCAGACAATAAATAAATAACTTCATAGGTTTGGGGCTAAAGATTGTAACTGTGATTTAATTTTTATATAAGTCCAGAATAAAATTGCATAATTAAATTGCATTGTTTATAAACATTCATATCAAGAAAATTTGTATGTATCTCTTGAGGATACACACAAATAATCTACTATAATAATTTATAATGTATTTAATTAGAGTACTACAATGGTAATAAAACGGAGATGATTAAACATCAATAGAATACACATAGATTTATTATTAGGGACTCATAAAATTAACATTTCTCTGCATTTCCTTTTATCTATAATTTTGTTGACCTCTTCGCACTCCTTTTTTTCTATGTATCATTCAGGAATTCATGGAAAGCAAGTTAAAATATTTACAGAACAAACTCAGAGAAAAAACTGGAAATAGGTAGAGATGGAGAAGCACATTGAGAGGAAATAAAACGTGAGTAAATTTGGAAAAACATATAATCAATTTCTAGAGAATTAATTAAAGAATCTATTACCAAGAATACATTCCCTAGTATATGCAAGAATAAAGCCAACTGCCTTGCAGAACCAAACCTGATGCTCTTGAGCGGATTCTGGTTCACAGAGACCCTGTAGGACAGAGGAGATTGCCCATTGCTTACCTGGCTCTGGTTTCAGAGAAGCGGACTTTCATCCTTCTCTGGGGCAGCCATGGTGGGTTCAAGTGCAGACCTTGGTGTTGTCAGCTCAGTGCTTAGTCACTGCACTCTGAGAGTTCCTCAATGAACCCAAGACTTCAGAGTCTAGTGTAGACTTACTATCATATGCAACCTAGAGAGGGACGTTAAAACTAAATAAGATGTGAGAATTGAGCACCATCTAGAAAAGCAGCTTGTGCCAAGCCACACCAGCACAGTGATAATTCAGGCTCATGTTTATCTGATTCTACAATTGAAAATGTTGCTATTAACATTTTGAAATTCCATTATATATTTTTATAATTATGAAATCATTCGCTGTGAAAATGCAAAAGAACACCTTCACATATCTTAATTCTCTTTCAAATGCAAGCTGCATGAATAGACCATACCCTTTTAAAATAATTTAATGTCTTCTGGAGTAAAATCTAATATATCCATTTGAGAGAAAGAAATTATGATTCAGAAATAGCATTTACCCACATCTGGTTGATACTTCATCTATTAGTTAAACATTTCTTTAATTTTTAGATAGAGCATCTTAATTTTATTGGTCCTATTCTCTACTTCAATGAAAATATTAAAACACAGTTCTGACTTGGCACTTCAGGTGATATAAATATGCTGTCTCTTTTCTTTTATATGTTTCCAGGATATGTTTTTCACTTTTCATTATAGGTTTAATTAACTAGAATCATTTGTATGGAACTTAAATACTAAGGCATATTAGAGATTCGAATTTCCAGCTTCTATAACATTTAGTAAGTGATGAAAAACATTTCATTTCCCCGTAAGACAGACCTGCTCATTCAGTCAATGTTGACTCTAAATATCATGTGTTTGGGTTTGTATATCAGCGTTTTAATGTCTTCTATAAGCTGATGGGAATTTCCCCACGGGGAAAATTTACTAACACTCTTTTGGAACAGAAAAGCAACAGGAATTTTTATCCCTTGAGTAAGCAAGAGAATCATTCTGGAATAATAATCTACATGATAAAAATGACTACATGACTGAATTTTTGTACCTAGAAAGGTGATCTTTTAATGGGAAAACATATGGCATAAGATTGGAAAGGAAATTTCATGATACAGGACAGTTCTTTCTATGATAGTAATTAGATCTTTAATGAATCCAATGCCCTTAAATCCAATCTACTTATTCTGGTAATTAAAATTGTTTATATTTCTAAAAAATGGGTACAACCAAAAATGAACTGCTTTAGAGTCAATTCTGACAACTGCTCATTGACTTCCATGGAGGCATTTCTTTCTTAAAGTGAACCTTCCAGACAGCAGAGAGCTGCCTCTGTGAGTTTCGGGACGGTAACTTTACAGGAATTGTAAGACTTGCCATAGTCCTGTGAGGCTGTTGGTGGTTTTGAACTGCTGAACTTGGGGTTAGCAACCCAATGTGTAACCACTCTGTCACTAGGCATCCTTGTATAGAGTCCTCATAGCTGTAAATTTGTATGGAAACAGACTGTGTCATCCTTCTCCACAGAGCAAATGTTGGTATCATAAAGGATCCCTTTACTCCATTTAAGATGCCAATGATCAAAAGCATGCACTGAAAGTATGAGCAGGTTGTGGGAGAAACTGAAGCCCTCACTCACTGCTGTTTAGGATCATCAAATGGTGAAAGCATTAGAGACAATGGGTTCACAATGCGATGCCCCCGGCTGCTCGGCAAGAGAGAAAATGAGACTTTCAACTCCAGTCACAGTTACAGCCTTGGAAACCCACAGGGGCGCTGCTCCCTCTCCTGGAGGGTTTCATCAGCCCAAATGGACGAAATGACTGTGTGTGTGTGTGTGTGTGTGTGTGTGTGCTTTTTGATGATTCATTCGTACATTAATGTGTAATCCATAGTGGAAATTGTAATCTTTGACATTCAGCACTAAATGCTTCAAGTCACCATAGTTATCAGCAGGCAAAGTTGAGTCACAGGCAATTCACAAGTGCAGAATATGGCTTGTGGACCATATTTGACCTCCTCTGGTTTCTCTACTGCACAAGGCAGGGGTCAGACTTGCCTCCATGCTCCAACCTTCTTTACCCTACTCTGACACCAACCATTCTTCCCAGGTACTCTACTGGAATGCCAAATTTGATCATCCAGAGCAATGGCAACACGGAACTCAAAGACATCACTAACAAGTACGGAGGTTGATTAGAAAGGTAATAGGTTACCACAAGTCAAGGTCAGTCATCACTAAGCGTATTATCTTTGGTTCACAGCAACACTTATCCTCAGCCAGCATTCAAATCTCTAATCCTTTGCCTCTCAGCAATGTGATCCCTTGACCTGGGCTTTCCTGGACCAGGAAGCTGGCCTGTGACCCTGCCTCACAGTTCCATTGTCTCACAGTTCCATTGTCTAAGCACTGCTTCCATTGCTCTGTCCCATAAGCTAAGTGTCACAGACTCCGGTGCCTCTAGACTTCACACAGAGAACTAGAACATCCTCTTCTTCCTAAGGTCCTGGGTTCTATCTCTCTCTCTATCCTGCTTCAAAGATGCCTCATCCTTATAGCAGGGCACTCTGGTAGTGTAATGAAAATTCACCATTCCTCCTCTTGGTTTTCATATTCCCAGTTTCTCAGATTTTTTTTTTTCCACATTCAGATTGAGTACATATGGAGACAGGATGGACCCTCCCTGTACAGCTTTCTCAATTTTCAAGTGTGTAGCATCCCCTTGTCAGGTCTGACTGACTGCCTCCTGATTGTGTTACTATTTATGCTCAATAAGGAAGGGCTGTGGATTTCTTAGTGCTATCAACAATTAGGCATAGTTCACTCAGGGAAATATCTTTGTATATCAGATAAAATGTATTAGATCAAGATCCATTTAGCAACATTGATGATATTGATAAAACAGAGAAAGTATCCTTTTTAATTGAAAGGAGTAAATCATTCATTTTCGTGCATGTGGAGAAAGCTTAAAATGACTAATTCAATTTCTATCCTATTACCCATTTAATGAGTTGCCTTTTTTCTGTTATGAACATCTTTTAAAAACTTATATTCTATTTATGTTTCAAACTATATTAGTCAAGAATTATTTTTAATACTTTACCCTCCCAATAATATTCATGAGGACTACACTGATATCCACTGTTTCATTCCAGATATTTGTAATTACTAATAGTTAATGTCCCTCTCTTTTATTTTTTATTAACCTAATCAACTTATTAAACTCTGGGTGTGGTAGGTACATAATTTTGTGTCAACTGGAGAGTATTAAGAGTGAAGGGGTGTAGATTAGTCTAGTCTGTCAATCAGGTTGCAGCTTTATTGGAGGGTCATTGAGATAAATGGCTCTCTGGTCTCCATCTCTCTCTGCTATGTCTTCCTCTTGACAAGCCACAAGAAGATTGGCTGAGTCCTGCAAGAGCTTCTCTCTCTGATTCACTTTCCTGTTGCCAAGCTACATGAAGACACACTGAGACTTGCGAGAGCTCTGGAGATGCTTCCACCACCACTGGATCCAAAGACTTTGCACCCACTGATCTGTGATCTTCCAGAATTTTCCATGAATACATGCGCTGCGTGAGTCTGAAGAAGGATTTATGAACTAGTATAAAACTCAGGAGTTAATATCACACTTAAGGATGTTATCTGGACTGGGCTGGGATTTTTTTTAATATAAAATTACTCTGTGATATAAAGCTCTTTATTATACATACATGAGTGTTCTTGGATTTATTTCTCTAGTCAACCTGGCCTACCACACTGGGCTATGAGTTTGGGTGCTCACTGGAAGGTGAGCAACTCAAAGCACAAGCTGCTTCACTGGAGAATGATGACAATTTCTATTCCAATAAAATAGATACATCACCACTTATCTGTCAGTTTGTTGCACTGTGGTAGCTTGTGTGTAGCTGTGATGGTGAAACTATATTATCAGTATTTCAAAAAGGAGCAGGGTCATCCAAAAGTGTTTTATTGATTATGTGAAGACATTCTGTTATAGGAATTATAAAAACTATGGGTAACCTTGAGAAATACTACTCTTCTCAAGATTAAAAATTGCAGGACCCTAATTATGCTCTTTTAGAACCCATGAAAGTGTTACTTGTGTGGCCTGAATAAGGGCACTCTGAAGGGCTGAAAATCACGAAAGATGTGTGTTATTGAGGTAGGTAGGTTATTGTGCCAGCCTGGCTGATAAACACATGTGAGGTTAATTGAAGGGCAGAGGGATAAATGGCTCAGTAAGCCTTGCCATTCTAGTTCTCACGTCTCTTGCTTTCTCATGGTCAGACCAGGGTGCAGCTGCTTTAGCCAGTTCCCTGCTTCACTTGGCAAGGATCACATCCTGCAAGTCATCCCAGAGGAGAAGCCACATGGACCTACTCCAATACAGCCCTGAGTGCTGGAGCACCCGTGTGGAGACCCCTATCAGTGCTGAGATGCTTACACATTCACTAACTCAGCTTTCCTCCTGCAGTCGGCATCATTGCATCTGTTTTGTGAGATGGAGGAGGACTTTGTGGATTTGTGTTGGTCATATGGGTCAATGTTGGACTTGTGGGCTTGGGCAGCATTGGGTTGGGATGTTTTCTTGATGTGCACTTAACCTTTATATAAAACACTCTCTTATACATGAGTTTCTGTGGATTTGTTTCTCTAAAGGACCAAGACTAACACAGTGAGGATCGTATCATCATTGTTCAATCTTTATGCTGAGCAAGCAGTCAAGGGAGTTGGATTAAATGAAGAAGAACAAAGTCTCAGGATTGAATAAAGACTTGGTAACAACTTTGATATGCAGATGACACAAACTTTGCTTGCTGAAAGTGAGGAAGACTAGAAACGCTGATGAAGATCAAATGTTGCAGCCTTCAATATGGATAACACCTCAAAGTAGAGGAAACCAAAGTCTCACTGCTGAACCACAGGTAACACTATGATAAAAGGAGAAAATGTTGTACCATAGATTGCCAACAGATCTGCCTTGGAAGAAGTCCATCCAGAATGGTAAATAAGGATATAAGACCTCCTCTCACATAATTTGGAAGTGGTATCAGGAGAGACATGTCCATAGAGAAAGGCATCATACTGGGTAAAGTAAAGGCACGGGTAAAGGCATGACCGTGCTGTGTCATGCGCAGCACTGTCACAGGGGGAAGGCTGTTGGTCTTCCCACTGGGTGGGCAGCATTGCCCTAGGCAGAGGGTAGGGGTCTGGAAATGAGAAGTGGCATATGGAAGGATAGAGAATGAGAGGAGAGAATCATAAAAGCAGAGAAAGAGGAGAAGAGAGTAAAGAAAGAAATAAAAAGAAGAAAGAGAAAGAAGGGGGAAAAACAGAACTGAGCTCACTAAGATTGGCTGTAATGGTAAAGAAGGAAGAAAAAGAAGAGGAAAAAATAAAGAACAAAGAGATAGCTGATCCCTGATTGCCTGAATGTCGGACCAGAGGGGTTTAAATGCTTCCCCATAATGGCAGGTTGGTGTGCCCTTTTAATGCAGGGACTCAGAGGTGCTGGGCAGAATTGGCCTAGTTGGCAAGATCACCTTAGGGGTCCAACGGGGGTTTCTTCAGCAGTGCAGTGTACTGTAGATGGCTGTCACAGCTGCCTCATGTGGTGTGCAGCACTACCACAGAGGGCAGGCTGGAGTTCCCCCTGCTATTTCGGTTGATTTGCCCTAGGTGGAGGGGAGTGGAGGCTGACACATTTTAACTTATATTCATTTTAGTTTTAGCCTACCGGGACAAATATGATTTTATTATTGTTTTGTTTAAAATTTATGATGAAAGGGATGTTTAAATGCCAAGTTGATAAGGAGTGGTTTGTAGTAGTTACATGATCTCGTGTCAACTTGAGGGTACTAAGAGTGAAGGTGTGGGTGTATCCTGTCAATAAGGTCACAGCTTGATGGGAGGGCCACCAAGATAAATGGCACACAGGAGGCCAGCCTCTCTCTACTTCACCTTCCTGTTGACAAGGCATGTGGCACCATGCGGAGACCTGTGAGAGCCCTGGTGATGCTTCCAGCATCGCTGGATCCACAAGACTTTGCATGCACTGGCCTGTGGTGTTCCTCTTTTGCATCACTGTATGTGTGGCATCAATCTGAAGAGGAATTTATGAACTAGTATTGAACTTATGGGCTAATATTTAGACTTATTGAATTGATCTGGATTGTGCTGTTTTATAAATATAGAAAGCTCTTATAATATATGAGTGTCTCTGGATTTGTTTCTCTAGTCAACCTCGTTTAACACAACATAGTTTCCAGCATTTCAGCAATAAACAAGCTACCATAGTATGAAAAATTGATGGACTCATTCACTTCACTGCTCTCAAGTAGATTATGACTCATTGTGGAACTATAGCACAGGGTAGAACAGACCATGGGGACTTCCCACAGTACACCTCTTTAGGAGAGTATGACTTTATTGTGCTCCCTCACAGAGATGGGTAGTTTCAAACTGCTGATGGCCTTGCAACCCACTGCATAACCACCATTATAACACCAAGAATTCCACATAGATAAATATATGTGTATGCATATGTGTTCAGCTATTAAATGTATATTGTTGAACAGTCATGTATCAAGATAAACTTAAGGATGGAAAGTTTTATCATTCTAATGCATAAAAGAAAGAGTAGATAACATACATACACACACATATGTATTCATATGCATATATATGTATATTCCTGCCACTGAAGCATAACCTCATAAGAAGTTTTGGAAAATATGCTTCTAAGCATATTTATTTAAAATTTTCTTTTAAAAGATTTGAGCCATCAACCTGTGTTAGTAACCACTGTTGAATTTTAAAACTCACATTCCCATGAAGTATTTATTTTAATAACATAAAGGTTACTGTATTAGTCTGGGTACTTTGGAGAAACAAATCCACAGCAACTCATGTATAAGAGAGAGTTTTATGTAAAAAAAAATGTGCATTATGAAAACATCCCAACCCAATGCTGCCCAAGCCCACAAGTCCAACATTAACTCATTAATCCAACACCAGTCCACAAAGTCCTCCACCTCACAAAACAGAGGCAATGACACCGACTGCAGGAGGAAAGCTGAGTCAGTGAACGAACAAGCATCTCAGCACTAGCAGGGGTCTCCACATGGCTGCTCCAGCACCCAGGGCTGCATCGGGATAGGTCCATGTAGCTTCTCCTTGGGGATGTCTTGTAGGAAGTCAATCTTGCAAGCTGAAGCAGGGAACTGCTAAAGCAGCTGCACCCGGTGCAACCATCACAAAACAAGAGATCAAAGAACTAGAAAGGCGAGGCTCATCACCCATTTATTCCTCCGCCTTTCAATTAGCCCCACATGTGATTATTGGCCAGGCTGGCACAATTAACTAACTCAGTTACTATCAAATTCAAAACTCACACAGAGCTGACCACTAGCTCTAAAGAAAATGTTAGTTTTCCTAAAGTAGTGTCATTTCATTTGGAGTTAAAAGTCAGTTTGTATATTATACTCACATTAATTTTCTTTCAAATTGTTGTTTTTGTGGGGTTACATCAAATTGATTCTTACTCATGGTGAAACTGTAAAAAACAATCAAGCATTGTTAGACTTTGTGCCATACTCACAATGCTAATCATTTTTTAAACCATTGCTTTAGCCACTATGCTAATCCCTCCTCTGAAGAGTCCTCCTTTATTTTGCCATGTTACTTAACTTGATTTACTTCCCTAGGGACTGGCCTCTCATAATAACATGGGCAAATTAAATTAGATAAAGTTTTGCCATCCTTACTTTTAAGGACCATTTTACCTATAATTCTGCTAAGATAAATTTGTTTGTTGTTCAGCAGTCTATGATGTATTCCATAGTCTTCACCAACACCATGACTCAAAATCACTATTCCTTCTGCAATCTTCCTGATTCATTGTTTAGATCTCACGTCTGATGGAAAGTGCAATGGTCTGGGTCAGGCACACCATAGTTCTCTACTTGAGATCTGGACAAAAGGGCAATTAATAATACTAATAATGAGAGAGAGAACGTACAAAGTAGATATAGGAGAGAAAAAATCCCATGGGCAGAGAGAGGGAAAAGAGAGGAGTGTTAGGATGTCTGCTGAGGTGATTTCCACAGGCTAGATGATTTTAAATCTTAGATCACTGACAATAGAGCCCTATACTACGTAATTTAAAAACTCCTAAATCAGGAAGCCTACAACTCTCATTGCTGACCCATTACCTACTACATCCTTGTTCATACTCTTGCAAGACCTCTGCGTGGACAGAGCAAGAGTAGATTCATAATTGGACTTCAGGAATGTGACCAGTTCTGGGATTGGTTAGTCCATAACCTAGAGACACAGACAGGCCAAGTACCTCACATCCAATAAAAAAGTCTTTAGACATAGCTCTTTTAGTGGCAACCCACTTGAGAAACCATCCCCTGTGATGGGTGCTTGTCTTTCTAAACAAATGTTACTTAACGTCTTGCTGTTTGTGGTTTGAGCTTATTCTTCAGTTTGAGAGACCAAGAACCTTGGACACATCAAAGTAGATGCAACCATAATAAAAGACCTATGAATTGGGTTGGAAATAAAATTATTTTTTCCTGATTATAGAATCTTTAATATAGAATCTTCAAATATAGAAATTAAATATTAAAATATTAAGATAAATGAATATGGAAAATAATTATGTTCTAGACACCAACAACATGATTAAGGAAACTATTTGACACTGATTCTAAATTTATGTGTAATTTTGCATTTCCCCTTTGCTTCCCCTTCTTGGAAAAAATACTCCTGAATAAAAATAGTTGAGCTTTTCATATTTATTTACTTTTATAATTAAGGAAACCTTTGACCTAATCACATGCTGAAAAACGATAATTTTATAATAACCATTTTAGCAGATAACATTATAAAATATTTACTAACATTAATGTCAATTTTCTTTATTTCTGTTCTCATTTTTTATATGTAAACATTTCCAAGTAGACTATGGTGGTTTGAGGACCGGCAGTGAACACACGTCACCTTCTGTAAATAGCTGAGTTCTCGTTTCAAGTCAGTATCCAAAAAGCTAAGTTTGCTGTCCACTAAGGATCAGAAAATCTGATCCTGCTTACAAAACTGTCCCTCATTACAGAATTTTAGACCCCCATCTCATCCTTCCAAACCCTCCCTGAAGACCGGTAAGAAGGTGCCACCTGAGAAAACACTAGGAGTTCTTGGAAGGGGAAGAAGGAAGATTATTGGTTGGAATAAAAACAGGTTTGAATGAGATCCAGAAAGCAGGGCTCTCAAACCCATGGACAACAATCTGCCGAGGAAGACAACTTCAAAAAATCAACTAGAACCAACATGCAGAGAAGCAAGATGAGAGGGGCCGCCCCGGGAGAGAAGACAGCTGGCCCTCAGTAGAAGAATCTGGAGGCAGCTCTTGCGGGCAGATGGGGGTGGGGGGTCCCTCTGCAGAGAACCCCCCATGGGAATTCGCAAGGAAGAACAAGCAGAGACTTCTGAAAACGGAGTACCAGCGATGCAACTCAGCCACCTCGGAAGAAAAGGGCCCGGGTAGATGCTACTGTGGAAAGCGAAGAGGCATTCAAGAATCGTGTGGAGGCGAAGGTGAAGATTCTTGAAGAATTAAACCATGGCTTGTCGAGGACTGGGACTTCGTTACCAGGCAGAAGCAGTTGTTTCAGCTCCCGGCTAAGAAGCACGTAGATGCCATGCTGGAAGAGTACGCAAATTGCAAGAGATCTGAAGGAAATGTTGACAACAAGGAGTATGAAGTTAATGAAGTTGTGGTGGGAATAAATGAGAATTTCAATGTGATGTAGGGCATTCAGCTGCTTTATAAATTCGAGAGGCCCCAGTATGCTAAATTTATTATGGCTCCCCCTGAGGCATCTGTGCCTCAGATTTATGGGGCACCTCCCCTTTGAGATTATCTGTAAGAATCGGTGCAAGGTAGGCTTACATACCCGTTGATGAAAATAGCCTGGTGTTATTTGGGGGCTCTCTGCACGATTTCCTAAAATGCCTGGCAAAAAATTCTGCGGCCCTGTTTGGTGCCACTGATTACAAAGTGGTTTCAGCCAAGTACCATCACAAAGCCCTGTGAGGGTAACTGACCACTTACTATTAAAATCTGGTTATCTGTAAAACTTTCTTTGGTTATTGTTGTTCTTACTCTTTTTCTTGTATAGTAGATGTTCTCCAAAATTGTTAATGTATTACAGGGCTGACATTTAAGTTCATTTTCTGTTTGTTTCAAACAGAAAATAGAAGGGAGTATAAACAACTTTTCTCATTTAAAAGTTGCTACCAGTGTGCGCAGTTATTAGTCAATGAAGAAACCTTCATGAGAACATGTCATTGCCTAGTTGATAACATTACTTGAATGCTGGTGGTGCTTTCTATTCCTTTGACACTATACATATGTCTAATATGTGTTAATGCTACGTGACAAAATGCCCTGATTCCTAGTGCCAAAGATTCAACTTAATGTATGTACCTGAAAAGCTATGCATTTGTGCTCTCTTTTTTTTTTAATTGTGCTTGAAGTACAACAGACCGTCCTCTGTAAATCATCTATGTTGCTCCTTAGGCATTCTATCTTCGCTGAAATTGTTGAATGATGGTAATTTGTTTCATTGTTTTGTATTTGAATTTAATACACATTCTAACATGATAGAGGCAATGCATAATTGTGCAGCCGCAGTTTTCTGAAAAATTGATATTTTAGGTATTGTATTTCAGATCTTAAATAAAATTTGTTTCCAAATGTCAAAGCAAAAAAGAAATTCTAATTGTAGTACAACGGTGAAAATATTTGCATAAATTTCTATGTAGGATAAAGACACAACTTTCCACTCCTGTAAAGAGTTACAGTCTCAGAAACTCATAGGGACAATTCTACCCTTTATTGTAGGGTTGCTATGAGTCAACATCACCTTGATGGCAGTGAGGAAGAGCTCAACCCTGTATAGAGCACCCGCACCACGCATGCACTGTTATTCCTCAGGGTCCACACATCTGCTGGTGAATATTCTTGGTGGGAAGACAGCTACTGGGCACCACTCAGTTGCTCACTGGCATCATGTTGATTGAGTCTGACGTTATTCTCTACGTCCCTCTTCAGACATGGTAATCACATACAATGATGCGGAATGCAGGAAGATCACAGGCAAGTGAGGGCACAGTCATGTGGATCCAAGGTCTGTGGAAATATGGCAGGGCTCTGACAACTCTCAGGGTGGCCATCAAGCAGGAAGGGGGATGATGGCGGGCCACACTTCCAAGGGGACAGCATCGGACTGGCCTGTTTGATGCTGGGACTCCACTCTTACACATTTATACATCTTCAAGTTGACAAAAAATTATCTATCACTCTTGTATTATAAAGAAGGCTAATGTTACGCAAAACAAGATATATTTTAAGTTTGTAGTAATAACATGAGGATGAAAGACTGGGTATATAGTATAATTTTGATGCAATACACCACTATAATACTTATGTGAAGAATAATTGAAAGAAAAGTCATGAAAAATAAAGTGTTTAGATCTATAGAGGAAGTAATTGGGTTAATAGTTTATTAGAGTTAATAGAGTGTTGGGGAAATGGGGAGCTAATAATGAGCACAAGAAAAAAGAAAATTTTCTAAAATAGATTTTGGTCATGATATCACACATCTTGAAAATGCTTAAACCATTGAGCAGTATGTAAATAATATGTCAATTAAAACAGTAAAATAGATTGCCTGAATTAAAGTTTTGTTCTTCAAATTTTATAGGATTCTCATTTTTAAATTAAGGTATTTTATACTTATTATAATATTATACTTTAAAACACAAGGAATAATTCAATATAAAAATGTCCCACTCTACCACTTGTCTCACTCTATCACTCAGAGTGGCTACTTTCTAACTTCTAGGTTACAAAGTAATTAAATATTTCTCTAGCAATAGCATCTCCAGCATCCTAGTAAAAAAATGTAGCCAGCCATAAAGGAAGACACAAACATCATCCCCTCATTATGTTACTTCTAAGGGAATAGACAACTCTTACAAACCTCACATGAACCCATTAATTGTTGAACTTTTCTCCCTGGGAATGTGTCCAGCAATCCCCCAGGGACATTAGTCCTCCAGGATGACCAATATTGCATTCTCAGCTTTCCCCAGTACAAGAGGTGCCCTGGAATTATTAGGTGAGCAACAAAGGTTTCTGTGCTCTGTTTATGTTCATAATAGTTTCCAGATATATAGATATATTTTTTCCAGCTATATAATTTCCTAATGAATTTCATAGTTGACTAGGAACAGATGAAAACTTGAAGTTTATTTACTTTATCTCAGGGAGAAAAATGTCTGCACACAAATTTGAAAATAATTCATCAGAAAGGAGCATAATATTACAACATAGAAAGTGCAGTCACCTTAAATATTTTATATAATTTTTTGGAAGAAAATTTGAGCTTTATAAAATACTAGACAGGTAATTTTGGATTAAAATGGTTTTCAACAGCTCTGGCTCATGGTAAGAATTGTTTGCAAAATTATAAGATTTATGCTTAGAACAAAGGGACTCAGGTGACAAGTGGTTATGTACCTACCTGCTAACTGATCATCACGTGGAATTCTCTAACCACTGTAGAAATCATGATACCCTCTCTCTCTAAATATTTATCATCATTTTAGGGTATCTATGTGTAGTGCTGCTTTGTCATATAAGGTAGCTATGAGTATCAATTATCTCAATTGCAAAGGGCTTTGGTTTGGTTTAGGTGAGCTCAAAAAAATGGAGTCATTCTAAGACCACACACACACATGTAGACATATGCAGAGAGAGTTTGCGGCATAAGTGAGTTGCATGTTTGGCTGTTAGCCACATGGTTGGTTTTTCAAACCCACCATTTTCTTCACAGGCAAAAGATGAGGCTTTCTGCTCCCATCAAAAGCCTTAAAAAGCCCAGATCACTGTGAGCTGAAATCAACTCAATGACAGAGCTTGGGGTGTGTGTGTGTGTGTGTGTGTGTGTGTGTGTGTGTGTGTGACACCAAGGCAAATAGTTACAAACACTTAACTCAGAAATAATTTAATTTTCAGTGGTCTAGTTAAAAAATCAAAATGACTACTGAAAATGAATATTATATATTCCATAATTTTCCCACATTTAAATCCATTGAGGTTGAGATTTCTGACTAGTCATTTAGTATCAAGTGGTATTAGAAACAAAAGCCAAATTTTAAAAAGCACAGGGAAACATGCATTTAAACTATAATTTTATCTTTGTTTATTTGAGTTTTTGTGGATTTGCAGAATATCAATTACAACTCATAGTAGTCTTGTGAGCATACTCTGTTGTTGTTTTTTTATTCAGGGATGTTACAAACTATGGATAGAAGAAACAACACAAACGTGCCTGACTTCATCCTTGTGGGACTCACAGACTCTGAAGAGGTCCAGCTGGTCCTCTTTCATATATTGCTCCTGATCTACCTGGTTACTGTGCTGGGGAACGCAGGGATGATCCTCATCATCCACCTGGACCTCCAGCTGCACACGCCCATGTATTTCTTCCTCAGTCACCTGTCATTCATTGATCTCAGCTACTCATCAGTCATTACCCCTAAAACCTTAGAAAACCTAATAGCTTCCACCAAACATATTTCATTTGGAGGCTGTTTAGCCCAGATGTATTTTTTTGTCTTCTTAGGTGCCACGGAATTTCTTCTTCTCTCTACAATGGCTTATGATCGCTATGTAGCTATATGCAAACCTCTACAATACCCACTCATTATGTCCCCATTACTCTGCTGCTCCCTTATCATTTCCTCATACTTGATTGGCTCTAGTGAGTCCCTTGTTAATGTGATGTACATGAAAACCTTGCATTTCTGTGACTCCAATGTAGTGCATCACTTTTTCTGTGACACTACCCCAATTTTAGCTCTGTCCTGCACAGACACACATGATGTTGAGACCATGATATTCATTCTTGGTGGCTCCACCTTAGTGGCTTCTCTTATCACAATCTCTGTTTCCTATGCATCCATTCTCTCTACTATCCTGAAAATCAATTCCACATCAGGGAAGCAAAAAGCCTTCTCTACCTGTGCCTCTCATCTGCTGGGGGTCACCATCCTCTATGGTACACTTATTTTTACTTATTTAAAGCCAAGGAGCGCCTACTCCTTGGGAAAGGACCAAGTGGCCTCTGTTTTTTATACTATTGTGATCCCCATGCTGAACCCGCTCATTTATAGTCTGAGGAACAAAGAAGTGAAAAAGGCTGTCGTTAGACTTCTGCAGAAGAGGGAGAGCACCAGTTAATGACGGTGATGTAAGTGTTTAGTCTCATGGTTTATTTTTCTTTGACTAGGTATCTCTTAGATTCTTCTCTCTTAAAACCATTTACTCTTTAATTATTCTCTGTTTTTTTATTAAGCACTGTAGCTATATTTTTGGTCCAATTATATACAGTTTCACTTGTCAGTTTTCTAATAAAATGTTTATTGTAAATTACATGGGCTCTTATATTTCAGACCATCAACTTTTTATTCAACAATGTAAACTACTAATCAAACCCCTCACTTAAATGTGTTATACAGAGAAGTATAGGGCAGAGTTTACCACCAATTGTCTTACAATTTGACATTCCAGGTTTACATTCTGAGTCAGTCATTAGTTAATCTACACAACTCTAATAAGTTATTTATTCTTTCAGCATCCATACTTTAGCCTGTGAGCAGTACATATTATTTCCTTGTCCATAAATTAATAGTGATACCTAATCCTCACCAAAATACTGTCCTTAATGTAGTTCTAGTAAATGGTGCTCATTATCAGTAGGATCTGTAAAACTTTAAAATCTTTAAGAAGCTCTGGGGGAGTAACCAATAAATCAGTTAGCTGCCAACCAAATGTTCAGTGATTTGAATCTACCAGCTGCTCCTAGATAGAAAGATGTAGGATCTACTTCTCTATACATTCATGGAAACTCTATGAGATCACTATACCTTGTCCTGTAGTGTCACTCCTACTTCATAATATCTTGAAGGCAGAGGTTAGGGTGCAAGTATTTGTAACAGGCAGTGTCCTTTGCAAAGAAGAATATTCACTGATGTTTTCTAAATATTTTCTAAAATATTTTAGGGTAAATTAGTTAAGACCTACACAAAATTTTAAAATATTAAATATAAAGTATATTAAGGAAAATTCATCACTCACACTTTAGGTGTACAACTAAGCAAACAATATCTGTTAATATGGAATGCAACATGGAAAACATTGAAAAAACTGATTTAAAAAGTAGTAATGTCCCAATAATTCTATAAATTTGTTCATATTCTTCTTTTCTCATAGGAATATACATATGTATAATATCATATCTATATTCTCTACATCTTTCTGGAAATCAAAATAAAAACAACACAATTAATAATGCCAACAATTGAAAGCAGGGTTATAACAGTAGTCTTCATACATATTGATGGAATAATAAGAAAATATAATAAATTTACTTTTACAACATATTTGATCATTCAAATGATATATTCTTCAAACCTTCACACCAGAAACAATTTAAAAGGTTAAACCAGTAAATAGGTAATCTTTTAGAGGACATGTGTTTGTCCTTTTAAAACTTTATATGCAATGTGCTATTACTATGAGAAGTGGGCAGGGTGAAGACAGCATCCCTATCACTGTCAGGAGTGACATGAAACTAAACCCAGGATCCACATCCAAGGTAGTAAGCCAGAGGCATTGCAAGGGGAGGGTTTGCCAAGACAGTGGTGGCCTTCATTAGGCCTTCATATCACCCAGTGCCTAACTCAGCAGCCCCCATCCTAGCAGAAGTAGAGCGAAGGTCTCCTCTATGATCATTTGAGAGGAAGTTCTCCCTACATGGTCAGTGTAGGGAGCTGCATGTGTGTGTGTGTGTGTGTGTGTGTGTCTGTGTCTGTGTCTGTGTCTGGGTGTGTTTTGAGGAGAGCATGCTGGTGCCAGAAAGAGTAGGGCCGTTACACCAATGAGACAAAATCTATCCACATGCCCCACCCATGCGAGGGTGACACCTCGAAGAGCTAAACTGTGCTCTGAAATAAAAAATAGAGTTTCCCCTCTGTGGTTTATAGATAATATTGCTGAGAAATCTGAGGTAATCAGATATTATCTGGCTCAATTTTTTTTATGACATTACATAATTCTCTTCAAAAACCTTTAGGATTTTCCTTTTGTCACATTTTTTCCAAGGTTTTGTTATAATTATCTCCTACTGCATCTACTAGTAGTGTCATTACATCCCATTCTATAAGCTGAAACCCTAAATTGTCCTGGAGTTGACTCAGCCTCTCCATCTTCCTTAGGTTTTAAGGGCAGTGAAATTAGGCATAATGATGAGAGAGTGAGCAAAAGGAGGCAGGGATCAGAAAGGGGAAACTCAAGCACATGTGGTCTGCAGGGGGGCCACCTGACCACTTCTTTTACTTTCCCTTCCAACCCTCTCTAGGTCCCCATGGGTCATGGAGCAGTTCCATAGTGGTACATACAGCTACAATCAATGAAGATGAACTAAAATTTTATCAGGGCAGAGGATAAACAGTATATTGATTGTTTCAGAAATAAAGGCAGCTATCTTACAAGTTGTCTCACACTTTTATCTTTGAATACATCCTTATCTTTGGAAAATCAGAGCCATTTCAAGGCATTTCACTTGGCAGAATACATTCTAGGGATAAGGGCTCTATGAAAAATTTCCAAATGCAGGTACAAGTTGTGAAAACTGTCTCAAACTTAAAGTCTCCCCTAGAATTTCTGAGAATAGGCTTGAGCCCCTATTAGACCTGATGAATACATTACTCTTGTTTCCACCACTTGTCTGCCAGGTTTGCCATACTGTGGTGCCTTTTATATTGCTTTGATTGTGGAGATTTTATTGGTACATTTACAATACTAGCAAGCTCAGCCTTGTTTGACAGGTCTCAGCATAACTTCCAGACTGAGATAGTCTAGTGAGAGGGAAGAAGTATATCAAGTTGTTTTTTTTTTTGAGCCACTAAATACCTTATTATAGCATTGGAACGTTTTCCAATATAATACTAGAAGACAATTCCATCAGGTATGAAGGCACTCAAAATAAATATGTCTCAAAAGAGATGCCTTCCCAAAGCAGAGCCAACTTTAAGGACAATTATTGAGCCAAGCTTTTGTGACCTTCATTTTTTGTTGAGGCACACCCAAACAAAGAAGAAACAATTCTAAAACCCATTAATAATTAGTCAAAATAGTTACCAAAAATGAAATCAAGCAATTTTAAGTACTCATTAGTAGTCATTTCATGGAATTTAGAAACATCAAAGATATCACAGATGAAATGAAATTTTGGAGCTGAAATGGACTGATGTTGGCTATTTTGAATTGGAAAATCACATGAATTGCATTGCCAAGAATGACAAATTCAAGAAATGGCACCCGATTTTTCATTAAAACAAACAAATTGAAATTTATCTTGAGATACAATGCTGTCACTTATAGGAAAACAATCATAGATTTACAATAAGACATCTACACATCAAAAGTTACAGTAAAAAAATAAAGCAAAAATAGAATACTTTCACAACTTCTGCAATCTGAAATTTATTAAACAAGCATTCAAAAAGCATTGATGATTCTTAGTGATTGAAATGAGAAAGTTGAAAATAGAAGGATCAGTAGTTGGAAAATATTGTCTTGATGATAGAAATGCCACCAGAGATGTAATGATAGGATTTTGTAATATCAACCACTCATTCATTGCAAATAACTTTTTTCAACAACAAAGGCATTAAGGAAATCTATAACACAGTTACCTTGCTAATTGAAATTCATAAGAAATAATGAAAAGTTATGATGGAGAAACTCAATATCATTAGCCAATACAAAACTAGGGACAGGCTGTGGGATATAGGTCATCAATTGCATATTTATACAAGTTCATGTAAAACCTGCAGAAAATTAAAACATGCCCCCAAGACCGAAAATTTGAACTGGAGTACACTTCACCTGAATTTAGAGACCATCTCAAGAACACACTTGACACAGTGAACAAAAATGACTGGAGTCAAGATGAGTTGTGGGATGATATTAATATGTCATAAATAGAGAAAGCAAAAGATTATTAAACAACAACAGGAACATGAAAAGAAAAAAGTGGATGAAAAAAGAGGAGAATCTGAAACTTGCCTTTAAATGTGGAAGAACATTAGACTGTGTATACCTTAACAAACAGTGGATAAAATAAAGTATTACAATCCCCCCCACCACCAAATTAATTTTTTTTTTTTTTGCGTTAGGAAGGGTTTTCTAGAGAAACAAAACCAGGACACTTATGATTATATATCTATAAAAGGAGAAGTTTATACAGCAAGAAGGTATATAACCAATAATTAGTCCACACAGCAGTACAAAGGGCTCAGTTCAACTCACTTACTTGGAACAGATAATATACTGAAGGCCCTCCAACTCATACTGGCTGCTGGCCCAAGGTCACCTAAGAGGAGTGCAGTCTTCCTTCAGACAAGACAGGCAGAGACTGTTCTAAGGTGAGGCAACTACAGTCAGTAGCTCAAGAGCTTATTGAAGCAACTCTTAATAGAGGCTATTACTGAAGTATGCATGGCGACATGATCCAACAGCCTCAAGCACAAGCAAAGTAAACATAAGCAGCCTTGTTAAGCAGGTCTTGAAGGAGCCTCAAGCTCTAGCAACATGATCCACTGGTTGGCTTGGCCCACAGGTAGTGCAGCACATCGCTGAGTCAAAGAAATACCTCAAGCAACAGAACACTGAGTTGGACTGATCACTAAGGAGGAAGAGAGACAGGATGCCTGCCTCTGAGAGTATTTATCTCAGTATCTCAGTCACCTTCCAATAGGATGTGACCTGATTAAACTCTGGCCATATGTTCCTCAGGAGGCTTAATTGGCACAATAAATCTAAGCATCACAATTTTCATATTTAACCTTCATACACACTAGGAGATAGTCCTTTGAAGATGAAAATGGAAAATTTCATGATTTAAACTCAGTAAACATGTGTCCAGGCTATATCATTTGATCATACTTATTCAGTTTGTAGAGCAAATAATCTGAAAAGCTGCACTCTAGGAACAATTTGGGATCAGAACTGAAGAAACACTTGTTAGCAAGCTGGGATAGCAGAAGATATAATCTTCCTTGCTGAAACCAGAACAGATTGCAAGCTCTTACTCATGAAGATAAAACTCAAAATAAAACAAACAAACCCCAAGGTAAAGCCTTAGAACAGGACTGATAAACAATATTGTGATAAAATCACACTAAACCTGCTGCCATCAAGTTGACTCGGAAATTTAGTGACCTAATAGGGCAGGGTGGAACTGCTCTCTAGGAATTCTGATGTTGTATATCTTTATGGGTGCAGAAAGCTGCGGGTTTTGAACCACTGACCTTGTGATTATCAGCTCAAAGTATAATCAAATATCCTGCAAGGGCTCCTTACTATTGTGATATATGGGGGAAATGTTAAAATTGTCAACGATTTCGTTTTACTTGGGTCAATTCCAAAGGAAACAACAGTCAAAAAATCAAACCACTAACTGCACTGAAAACATGCTGGAAAAGGCTTCTTCAGATTATTAAAGTACAAAGATGTCATATTGAGTACAAAGGTGCTACTGACCCAGGCCATGTGAGTTTCAATCACTTCATACACTTGGGGAGATGAATGATGAATAAGGAAGATCAGAGTACAGTTAATGCATCTGAATTATGGTGTTAGTATAGAATATTAAAAATGCAATGGTTTACCAACAGAACAAACAAATCTGCCTTGAAAGAAATACTGCCAGGATATTCCCCAGAAGTGAGGACAGTGAGACTCAGTGACTCATATTTTGGACACATTGTCAGAAGGGACGAAGCTGTCCTGTGCCCCACAAACAAAACAAAAGGAATCTCACAGCCACAAAGTCAATGTCAACTCATAGAGACCTTATAAGACAAAGTAGAACAACCCTTGTGGATTTCGAAGACTGTAACTGTCCATGGGAAAGCAAGCCCTGTCCATCTTCCCCAGAGCAGCTGGGGGTTTTCAACTCTGGACCTTGTAGATTGTGGAGGGTCCAGTCTCTGAAGAAAGAAAACATGCTTAGTAAATAAGAAGAAGAGGAAGAACTTAATGAGATGGATTGACATTAATGACAATGCTGCAACACTGACTTTAAACTTCAGAATGAATGGGAAATGGGGCAGCACTAGGCATTGTTTATTTTACTTGGGTCTCTACCCAAGTCAAAATCAATGGGAAGGCACATAACACCACCACAATGTTTTCTTTAGCATCCCTCTAGCTCTGTCTCCCTGGAATCAGTATGGAGATATATTAGCACTGTTGTGTTAGTAGCCATAGCATGGATGGTATGGACCTGTTGCTTTTGTTTTCTTGCTGTTGTCCACAGTTTTCCTTAAATTGATGACATTATTCTAAATTTTAACGATGTTTATCTGCTAAAGATTGTCAAGATGTCCTGATCATGAATGTATAGGTCAAATGATAACCATAAACCCTTAAAGAATGCCAGAGCTTGGAATGGTGGTAAACATTCCTTGGGTCGTCTTGTTAGGTGATAGTTGTATTGCCTGAAACAACAGTTGATAAAACACAAGCGTACTACACCTGTAGGATGCTAAAATACCTGTATCCTTTGTGGTCTTTTGGTGTATGAGAGGGTATTTGTACTCTACTTGGCCCAATCCTTGAGGCCACTCTAGTTATAGATCAATAAAAGGGTATTTCCCAGGACTGGAGCAAAGAACAACAGCAAACTCTCAAGAATGAAAAAATGATAAATTCTGGATAAAATACTGAAAGGACTACAAGTCAGGATGAACCCAAGCATAGATGAGAGCTCTACTTGTGAAGCAACCCTAGGGCCTAATGCCATCAGATACTTGGTACATGGATGACTGGCTAAAGCATGCTATCCTTGAGATCAGCAGTGGACATGCATACTTCCATTGATACTATGGGATTTGAAACGGATTTTGGAGAAAGTTACCATCAGATCAAATTAAAGGCTTTGTCATTTCCCATGAGCCCTTTACCCTTTACCCTTTGTACAAGTAGTTGGCTAATATCCTGTGGTTCTAACTGTGTGAATTGGTCAATACACAAGGAGCACTGGACGATGGGTAAGATTGTATTTGGGAGAACCTATGAAGGACATCGTGTCTCCAAACCTCATATGCTGTTCTGTTTTTCATGTAGCCTAGTAACTTCTTTCTCCAACACAGAATCAAGAAACACGTGCTGTAACTTAAGTTAGAATGGAGTATTTAGAGGGGAAGCTATTGATTGGATACACCAGAAAAGCAGGCACCATAGTGCCCATGTTGGCTGGAACATAGCCAAAGAGTCAGGGATACCTGTAAAGTATAATGATTTGGTGGCTATTTTAAAAATAGCCCCATATGCTCTCACTAATGCACAAG